GACTGAAAACCTGGGCTGGCTTCACGAGTGTGTGATTTTGGTTTCATATAAATGGAATTGTTTTATATGCGGTCTTTCGTGACTGCCTTCTTTTACTTGGCACAATACTTAGTTTAACGCTCTATTGTCACCATCTTAGAATTTTTAACTTAGTTTACCTTAATTAATTAATTAATTTTGCGACGGAGTTTTGGTCTGTCACCCAGGCTGGAATGCAGTGGTGCCATCTCAGCTCACTGCAACCTCTGCCTCCCAGGTTCAAGCAATTCTCACGCCTCAGCCTCCCAAGTAGCTGGGACTACAGGCACCTGCCACCACACCCGGCTAATTTTTGTATTTAGTAGAGTTGGGGTTTCACCATGTTGGCCAGTTTGCTCTGGAACATTTGACCTCAAGTGATTTGCCTGCCTCAGCCTCCCGAAGTGCTAGGATTACAGGCATGAGCCACTGCACCCAGCCAAAACGTTTGCTTGGAAGTGAAGTCTACTGGGGCAATGGGACTTACACGTGCACAGTGGAGATATGCCAAGCGTGCAGGCACTGAACAATGACCAGGCAGCCAGGGACACTGCGGAGTTCCCAGGTAGCCAGGTCAGGACCTGGGCCTTAATCAGTGGTGACAATGGGGGCTGCTGCAGTGGTGGTGATGGTGGCAGTTGCTGCAGCCATGGGAAAACGAGGGCCTTCACATGGGGACATCGCCGGGACAAGGAGGTGGGGAGCCGCTTGCCTCTGTCTCCTGAACCCATCCCTGCAGGGTCCGCACAAATGCCAACTCTCTGGCCTGAGCCCTGGGACAGGAACCGCAGGTGATTGGGCAGTCAACTTTGTCAGTAAATTATTATTATTATTATTATTTGAGACGGAGTTTTGCTCTTGTTACCCAGGCTGGAGTGCAATGGCGCGATCTCGGCTCACCACAGCCTCCGCCTCCTGGCTTCAAGCAATTCTCCTGCCTCAGCCTCCGGAGTAGCTGGGATTACAGGCACGAGCCACCGTGTCCGGCCAAATTATTACAAAAGAAAAGGATACGCATGGGTATTGCAGGAAAGCATGCCACGAAGCAATTCGAAATTTTGGAGTGTGGACTCTCCAGTTTTTAAACTACTGAAACACTACAAGGCAAATATCCACAGGATTAGAAATTAAAAGTCATTGCATTCAACTGTTTTCATGAAATGATATGGAGGAAGTTTCCGAGCATATTACTAAGTGAAAGGAGGCGATCTGAAAAGATCTATCTATACATACTGTAAACCTAAAACTGCTCTACAAAAATGCAGCCTAATTGAAAGGCGGCAAAAATAAGCAAAAGACCTAAACAGACACATAACAGAAAAGAATATATACAGATGGCAACATAAGCATATGAAAGAACGATCAACATCATATGTCACTGGAGAATTGCAAATTAAAACAAGATACCACTACATACCTGGAGTGTGTGGCACACATCTAAACACTGACAGTGACAATACCAAATGCTGGTGAGGATGTGGAGCGACAGGGACGCTCGTTCATTGCTGGTGGAAATACAAAATGGTACAGCCACGTTGGAAGACAGTTTGGCAGTTTCTTGCAAAATGAAACATACTTTTACCATATGATTCAGCAATCATGCTCCTTGGTATTTTCTTAAATGATTTCCACACAAAAATCTACACACAGAGGCCAGGTATGGTAGCTCACGCCTTTAATCCCAGCACTTTGGGAGGCTGAGGTGGGTGGATCACCTGAGGTCAAGAGTTTGAGACCAGCCTGGCCAACATAGCAAAACCCTGTCTCTACTAAAGATACAAAAATTACCTAGGTGTGGTGATGGGAGCCTGTAATCCCAGCTACTCAGGAGGCTGAGGCAGGAGAATCGCTTGAACCTGGGAGGAAGAAATTTGTGTATAAGTTTAGGCAAGATCCAAGATGCCAGGTTGAAGATGAATGCATCCGAGAGCAGGTGAGTTTCTGTTCAGCTTCCTTTGGATGTTGGAGTCTTAGCAAAATGAGGCTGTAATCACTACCACTACTGCCTTCATTTATAGTGTGTGTTTAATATGGGCTAGGCATTGTGCCAAGCTTTTACGTGTATCATCTCATTTCATTCTTACAACAATCACAAAATGCAGTAATTTTCCTTATCTCCCCTGTACAAATAAAAAAGTGGAGACACAGAGAGATTAAACAGGCTGTCAGAGGAGGAATGCCCAGCCATGAAACTGTAGAAAAGGAATTCAAATGGCCAGGCGCGGTGGCTCAAGCCTGTAATCCCAGCACTTTGGGAGGCCGGGGCGGGTGGATCACGAGGTCAAGAGATCGAGACCATCCTGGTCAACATGGTGAAACCCCGTCTCTCCTAAAAAACCACAAAAAATTAGCTGGGCATGGTGGCACGCGCCTGTAATCCCAGCTACTCGGGAGGCTGAGGCAGGAGAATTGCCTGAACCCAGGAGGCGGAGGTTGCGGTGAGCCGAGATCGCGCTATTGCACTCCAGCCTGGGTAACAAGAGCGAAACTCCGTCTCAAAAAAAAAGAAAAGAAAAGGAATTCAAACATAGGCATTCTGCCTCTAAAATATTTACTCGTAACAAGTACAAAAAGCAGTTAGTTACATAAAAAGCTATATCTTAGAATATGTATACACATCTGCCAGTAAAGGCAAGACAGCTTTAGGACCTCCCCAGAGTAAAACATTAGAGGCGGAGAGGCAGGAGATGGTGTAGTGGGGGAAGATTTATTCCGGGAGTGCTAGTGATAGAGGAAAGAGAATGCTTGATAAAACACCCCTGTGAAATACACTTCCCAGCCTTCCTGAACCCAGAAATGTCCAGCAATACAATGATACACACAGCAAATCAGGGGCTACTGTTCCGATTCTGGTACTGTGACTCCACCGTGCCCTCGAAGTTAGCGTGATCCAGGGAAACACGTGGTTGCATTGAGCTGAGATTGAGCCATGGCACTCCTGCCTGGGCAAGAAGAGTGAAACTCGGTCTCAAAAAAAAAAAAAATTCTTAAATGAGTCTTTTTCTTTCAGTACTTTGAATATAACATTCTACTGCCTCTACTACCCATGGTTTTTGATGATAAATCAGCTTTTAATTTTATTGAGAAATTCTTGAATGTCATGAGTTGCTTCTTTCTTATTTTTAACATTCTCTATCTTCACTTTTGATGTTTATCATGTGTCTAAGTGTGCATCCCTTTGAGTTTATTCTACTCAGGGTTCATTAAGCTTCCTGGATACAAAGATGAATTTTTTGTTGTTGTTGCCCAGGCTGGAGTAAATTGGCACAGTCTCAGCTCACCGCAACCTCCACCTCCTGAGTTCAAGTGATTCTCCTGCCTCAGCCTCTCGGGTAGCTGAAATTACAGGCATGCACCACCATGCCCGGCTAATTCTGTATTTTTAGTAGAGATGGGGTTTCTTCACGTTGGGTCAGGCTGGTCTCAGACTACTGACCTCAGATGATCCACCCGCCTTGGCCTCCCAAAGTGCTGGGATTACAGGCGTGAGCCACCAAGCCCGGCCAAGATGAAGGTTTTTCACCGGATTCGGGAAGTTTTCAGCCATATGCCTTCAAATAATTCTTCTTCCCCTTTCTCTGTTTTTACCTTCCGAGATTCCTATCATGCGTATGTCAGTACGCTTGATGACGTTCTGCACGTCGCTGAGGCTCTTTTCATTTTTCTTCATTTCTTTTTAAGACCTTTATTAAAAGGTGATTGCACTTTGTTGACTTTTTTGAAAAAATCAAGTTGTAAACTTTTATTACAAACTATTAATGAAGCTCTTAAAAATCTCAGCTTGACCAGATATGAAACAATTTGAAAACCTTTAAAGACGCATTGAGAAAAACCAGGCGTTTTTAAAACACATGTTTGTTATTACCAAAAAGAGACGACTTTAGGTGAAAATAATAAAAACCCCATGCTGCATAGATAATGCAGATAGTTCTGTTTATCTGGTCAATGGGCAAAAAGCAAGCACTTAAGGTCTCCAATGTTTTGTTCATTTCTTATTGCTGGAATTTGTTATTTCTTCTTGTTGATGACCAAACCGGATGACGGTGGAGATGGTAAGCCGGCATTTACTCAGCCCCGCCCTGCTCGGCTTCGGAGGCGGACGAATTCTCAGTTGGTGGATCAGCTGCTTTTGTCCCTTTGCCATCTTGTAGTTTAGGGTTTTCGGGACGTTTGTGTGTTTCTTAGACTGGATAATCTCAACTAACCAACCTGCAGTTTGGTGATTCTTCCTTCTGTCTCAAATTTGCTGTTGAGACAATTAATGACTTTTTCATTTTAGTTATTGTAAATTTTAACTCCAGAATTTCTCTTTGCTTCTTTTAAAAAAGTAATTTATATCTATTGGTATTCTCTGTTTAATGAGACATCACTCTCATACTTGCCTTTAGTTCTGTAGACATGGTTTCCTATAGTTGTTGAGGACATATTTTAAACAGCTGACTTAAAGTATTTTTAGTAAGTTACACATCTGGCTTACTGGTGGACAATTTCATTGATTGCCTCCTTCTTGCACGAGTCATACTTTCTTGTTTCTTGGCATGTGCTTTGGTTTGAATGTGTCCCCCCCAGATTGATGTGTTGGAAACTTAATCTCCAATGCAATAGTGTTGAGAGGTGGGAACTTTAAGAAGTGATCGGGTCATGAGGACTTTGCCCTCACGAATGGATTAACACCATTGTAATGGGAGTGGGTCAGTTATTACGAAGGCGAGTTTCTTATAAAAGTGAGTTTGGCCCGCTCTTGCTCTCTTATTCTCACTCTCTCTTACCATTCTGCCTTCTGCCACGGGATAACGCAGTATAAAGTTTCTTACCAGATGCTAGCACTGTGCTCTTGGACTTCCCGACCTCTAAACCACTAGCCAAATAAATTTCTGTTCATTACTAGTCACCTAGTCTCAAATATTCTGTTACAGCAGCAAACAATGACAGCATGGACTAAGAGAGCATGTCTTACAATGTTTGTTGAAAGCTACAGTTCAAGCTTTGTGCAATGGCAGTACTGTAGCCAATGAGGTTTATCCAAGACATGATTATTGCTAATTGAAAACTTTTCCCAATGCCCCACCATGACAACTAATTATAGTCGGCATTGGCAATTTTTGACAGTCTCTACAGAGACTGAATTTAAAAAAAAAAAAAAAGATTACATTTCAAATAACATAATATGGTAGCTGTGGAAGTTGGATTCTCTCCCTCCCCAGAGTTTGTTATGACTGCTTTTGTGTATACTTTTGTTGTTTGCTTGTTTGTTTAGTGACTTCCTGAAGGAATTCTTTGTATTCTTTGTTGTGTGTAGCCACTGAAATTCCTGCTTAGCGAGCTTACTAGTCAGCTAATGATTACAGAGAGATTTCCTTAGACACTTGAAACCAATAAGCCTGTTGGTCCTTGCCAGGGGGACGTCTGTGTATGCTGGGCACACCTTTAGGACTCAGTCAGGCAGCTGACAACTCTCCCAGCCTTCACTTCCTCATTGTGCAGAGGTTCGAGGCCAGCAGAGGTCAGAGCTCCGGGCCTTCTCAGGTCTTCCTTGAGCATGCAGACAATGCTGGGCATGTGCACAGCCCAACGTGACCTTGTAGGTTCCCAGGAGTATGCGGGAGCTTTCCAAAGCCCCATTGACATTTCGCTCTCCAGCTTTTCCTTTTAAATGTTTTGACTAGCCTATTATCTGCCCCAACTGTTGTCCACTGCTTTGGGAGGCTGCAGAGTTAAACAATGGTTTTAAGTGTTTTTGACAAATGTCCCCAGGGTATCAGGTGAGCTGAGAGTCAGGTCAAATAAAGACAGTCTTGTTAGTAGGGTCTCTCAGGGAACCACCCAGCAGGTGAAACAATGACAATTCTCAAAGAATGAGCCGCCCTTGAAGAACCCTAACCCATTTTGTCCCCTCTGCCAAGCTGCTGGTTTTTACTGTGATTGGGAGGCTGTTTTCAAGGCTAATACAAAGTCAGAGAAAGAGAACTGGGAACAGGGCAAGTGAAAATGCCGTAAAGCTAGTTGTTCTTACCAAGACTCAGCTTGAGGAAATGCTCCCTGGATTGCTACAACACTTTAAAACTCAGATTTCTGAGAAAAGTGGCTTCTATTCATTTTTGCCATTTTCTCATTGCTTTCTATGGAAGCAAGAATTTTCAGAGGTCCTCACTCTGCTATTTTTGCTGACACCAACTCCCAGGAAGGTGGTTGGGTATGGTAGCTCATGCCCATGATCCCAGCACTTTGAGAGACCAAGGCCTGGTGGATCACAAGGTCAGGAGTTCAAGATCAGCCTGGCCAACATGGTGAAAGCCTGTCTCTACTAAAATACAAAGAATTATCCGGGCGTGGTAGCTCATGCCTGTAGTCTCAACTACTTTGGAGGCTGAGGCAGGAGCATTGCTTGAACCTGGGAGGCAGAGGTTGCAGTGAGCCAAGATCATGCCACTGCACTCCAGCCTGGGCGATAGAGCGAGACTGTCTCAAAAAACAAAAACTTCCAGTGAGGAAATACTGGTCTAGTGAATGACTATCATCATATCATCCCTGCGCTTCCTGTTCCTTTCCATTATCTTGACGCTTTGTGTTAAGATAGCTCTGTTTCTCTGGAGGTCCTGCTGAGACCTCTAGCTGTGTGCCACTGGCGCTGACACCAGCACGTTCACCATAAATCTTTGTGGGCACACTCCTCAGACACCCTTCTGAGTTAGCATTGCAGTGTTGTAAGTCATCCTGGAACAGTCTGCCCTTAAGGAACCAAAACCAATAAATAGAAAAAATGGTCTCTCAATAGCTTTAATTAATTTAATTTCATTAGTTTTGCACTTTTATGCTCCTGTCACATAATTATTCGTAAATTGTATTCATAACTGTTTCTTAATTTGTAGTAATTTTATCACTCAGAGGATAATTGTTAATTATTTGCCCTATAATTATCATGGAAGAAAACAGGGCTCTTTAAAACCATGAAATTAAATTGGAAAGGAATTTCAAACAGCCACACTTCCCTTTGCCCTGACATCCCAGATGGTGTCTGCGGTTTGTGTTCATAGTTATGCAGAATGACAGATGCCAGGGAGCAAATATTTTCAGCATATTAATAAGAGCGAATGCACTGCCACGTTCCGCGTGGCAGCCACGTGCTGACGCAGAATGCCGGTAACGCTCTCAGACAGCAGGCGGAAAGGCTCAGGTACGCTCCTGCCTCGCGTAGTGTCTGGAGCCGTCAATGGAAAATCAAAACGCTGAAGATCTAGCGCCTACTCCACCAGAGACTCACTGTGTGACTTTGGCCGTGCTCCTTTTAGGAGGCAGGGATGTGAAGTAGTAAGTAGAGAAGCAAGACTCGTGAGCAGAGAGCAGCATCTCGCTGACTCGGCAGCACCACCAGGGATGAGACAGGGCACAAACCACCATTCCCCAAATAGCTGAAGCTTATGTTAAGCTCTGACATGTTAATTTGTATCAATTTTGAAGGAAGTTTCTCTAAAACATGTCATATAGCCCCATTGTTTCTAAAAGTGAATGACAGGGAACATAATTTCAACCTTCTGTTTAACCAACACAGAAAATACATAATAGGCCAGACACGGTGGCTCACGCCTGTAATCCCAGCACTCTGGGAGGCCGAGGGAGGTGGATTACCTGAGGTCAGGAGTTCAAGACCAGCCTGACCAACATGGTGAAACCCCATCTCTAATAAAAATACAAGAACATTAGCTGGGCATGGTGGCAGGTGACTGTAATCCCAGCTACTTGGTAGGCTGAGGCAGGAGAATTGCTTGAACCTGGGAGGCGAAAGTTGCAGTGAGCTGAGATAGTGCCATTGCACTCCAGCCTGGGTGACAGAGCAAGACTCTGTATCAGACACACACACAAGACAGACAGACACACACACACACACACACACACACACACACACAATAAAACAGATGGGACAAATAGATAAATTTACTTCCAAATATATCAGTAATTACATGTAAATGGACTATCCATGTACTCTCTTCTCAACTTGACCACTGCCAGAATGGCCTGCATCTGCTGGAGGTGACATCACTCTACAGAGGCCTCTGGGGCTGAGATTTAGTCTGCGGATCTGCAGGCCTAGTGGTCAGATCCCGCTGGCCTCCTCTGGAATGTGTTCTTGGATGACTAGGCTTTCTCAACACAGGACGCAGTGTTTCAGGTCTGTCGCCGGATCTTCAGTACCGTTACTCTGCTGTCTTCCAGGTGACGGGTACCCTCCTACTCTCCGTTCAAGCCATGCTTCAGGTGGAGTGGAAGGTGATGTGTCTGGTTTTCAAATCCTCGTGCCTGGGAGCACTGATGATGACGGCAGCAACTGCACTTCATTAATTTTAGCTCCTTCCGCTGCTTCAGCAACATAGATCATTAAAACAAAACTACAAAAGAAAACCAAAGCAGTAACGACAAAAACACTCCTAAGAACTCTTAAAGAGAGGAAAAGGAAAGAAACTGATTTGGGCTGGAAAGTGTTTTAAAAGAAGCAATCTTTATATGAAAAACTAAACAAGAGCATATGAAATACACTTTTCTAAAATAGCTATTTTTTTCTTTCACCGTGTCTTTTTATCATTATTAAAAATTATGGGCCAGGTGCGGTGGCTCAAGCCTGTAATCCCAGCACTTTGGGAGAATCATGAGGTCAAGAGATTGAGACCATCCTGGTCAACAAGGTGAAACCCCGTCTCTACTAAAAATACAAAAAATTAGCTGGGCATGGTGGCGCGTGCCTGTAATCCCAGCTACTCGGGTGGCTGAGGCAGAAGAATTGCCTGAACCCAGGAGGCAGAGGTTGCAGTGAGCTGAGATCGCGCCATTGCACTCCAGCCTGGGTAACAAGAGCGAAACTCCATCTCAAAAAAAAAAAAAAATAAAGTATGTTTGTATTAACAAATATTACCAATCTGATCATTACAATGTATTGCTTGGGGTTATTGATTTATTCTTCAACAAATATTTATGATCCTATTATGTGCATGGTGCATGGGGCCGGGTGCTGTGGATATGCAGGTGAGAAAGAGAGTTGTTTAAATAATGCTCTTTAGCCGGGCACAGTGGCTCAGGCCTGTAATCCTAGCACTTTGGGAAGCCGAGGCGGGCAGATCACTTGAAGTCAGGAGTTCGAGACCAGCCTGGCCAACATGGCAAAACCCCATCTTTACTAAAAATACAAAAATTAGCTGGGTATGGTGGCACGCGCCTGTAATCCCAGTTACTCAGGAGGCCGAGACACAAGAATCGCTTGAACCAGAGAAGCAGAGGTTGCAGTGAGCTGAGATTGCACCACTGCACTCCAGGCTAGGCAACAGAGTGAGACCCTCTCTAAAAAAAAAATACAAAAATTAGCCAGGCATGGTGGCACATGCCTGCAATCCCAGCTACATGGCAGGCCGAGGCAGAAGAATCACTTGAACCTGGAGGTGGAAATCGCAGTAAGCTGAGATCACTCCGCTGCACTCCAACCTGGGCGACAGAGAGACCGTGCCTCAAAAGAAAAAAATTTTTTTAAAGCTCTTTAATTGTATAAATATTTATGGGTTTATTCCTGTTTTCATTGTCATAATCATTCCTTGGATAATAAAATCATTAATGAAGATTAATGGAATTTACTATAGATTTATTTTTAAAAGATAAAACCCTTTAAAGCTTCGTCTCCGGTCTTAAAATCATTACAGGCAGTAGTGTGAACCTTGAAAACAAACTTGGGCAAGTGACCTAAACTTTCTGTGCCTCAGTTTTCTTAGTATAAATGGGATGTTGGCAACAATAACACTACTTCATATAGGATTGTTGGAAATAATAAATGAGCTAAATCACTTTAAGTGCTTGGACTAATACCTGACACCTAGAAAACACAAAATAAATGTTAGTTAATATCTTCATTCATTTGTGAGTTCCCTGAGCATCTACTGTGTCTTTCCTATTCATACGATGACTTCATGCATGAATACGATGACTTCAAGCTTTGCTAATGGTTTCCATCATTTCCAGCAAAATTTCCAAAAGACACGTCTTCCATAATTGCCATCTCTGCTTCCCTCCAGCTGGTTCTCACTTAAATCCTCTATACTCTGGATCGTGGCTTTGGTCCCCTTCAGGATCTGTATTCCTGAAAG